GGAAAGAAGAGTTGCAGACAACAAAGTATTAATGAGGACAAGGAAAAGAAATGACAAATAAATTGTTGAAGCTGATTTTAAGAGAGCCTATCTGACAAAAAGCTCTTCACATAGCTTGAAAAGCCAGGAGCAGTGCTGAGAGCCAGCTGGAAACACACTGAAGGCAAAGAGTTCATAAATGAATGTGGAAGGGACAGCAGTAAAGTTATAACAGAAAGCCACTGGCACAGTCTGTTCAGCAGTAATAACTTGATTTTATAGCCCTCTGTATCCTACGTTAGCAAGCTTCTCTACTCTAATTCAGAAACAAATCACGGTGAAGGAATTCCAATGGCTATCCAATTATCTTGAGACAACACTGCAGACATTTTGACAGCAATAACATCTTAGTCTCTATAGGATAAATGCAGCAGTAGGAAGATAAATAGCTCTTCATAAAAAGGAGTATCTGTATTTTCATCTATGAACTGAAAATTAATACTAGTTCAAAGGAAATTGTGCGTGGTATTTTGTCTTGATACCTTCAGACTATTTTTCTATCTTTATATACTGTCAGTGTCTTCTCCACACATAGTCTACATGCAGTGTTTAAAAAATAGCATGGAAGATTACCTCCCTGCCATTGTAAGAGCTGACTGGTGTGGGGAGGAAAGCCATCTTTTCCTTCCCCAGTCAAATCTGTTCCTTCAAAAGGAAACATTTCAATTTTCACTAACTTAACAGGGAAAAAAGATATAGTTTCTTCAGTCCAGCTAAAGAAAGAAACTATTCTCCAACACCATGCACTGTGAAATTCGGTTGCCAAAGGTCCACCAGGAGGGACAGAACTGCCAAGTATAAAAATGTTGGACAACAGCACCACTGAAACAAAACATGTAAGTCTCACTTAGTGGTCACAAAGGTAGGCATCCTATTTCAGAAACCATTTCTAAAATAAACTAAGCACTATGAGATTTCAGACTTAATTCTTTGAGTAAATGGTGTTTCCAAAAATTTTTAACTGATGTTGAAATTGCTGTTCTTAGCTCGCTTTAATGAGACATGTAAGGAAACTATGTAATTAAAAATCTTTAGGCTGAACTTGAGGAAGCTAGATACCATAATGCAAAAGTGACTACGTGTCTTGATTCTATATCATACTATTGCTTTTCCCATATATTCAATAGGCTGACCTATAAGCAATGTTCTGATGCAATTTTATATAGAAGAGAGCATAAGCTGGTCCTGAGCCAAATTGTAGTATGGTTAATTCTGTTATATCTGTGATATCTAAATATTACTACTAACATATTAACACCTTTTCTTTTAACAAAGAGCACCTCTCTTCAACCACTGAACTCAAGTTCACCTGACAACATTGGCACTTCAGCAAGAATACCAGACCAGAAGTACTTGAAATTTCCAGATCACCTGAAGGGGGGTATTTGCAGAAGTGGATTGTCAACGGTCACTTTAATATTGTATCCAGGAAAGCTAGCTTTTAAGTGATCAATGGACAAGAAAGTGTCATTAAAATCCAGAGTTGCAATCTGATTTGGCATTTTCGAATAGTGTGCACTACTTGGGTCTCCATATCCGAGAATGATGTCATGCAGCCAGTCAGGAACCACACAATCTGTGTTCATCAAATTCCTAATTGTCTCCAGAACAGCCTATAAATTAGAAAAATAGAAAAAATATGATTGGAAAGATTGACTTTTTGCAGAAAATGTGACATAGTGAGGACTAAACAAGTCTATTTTAAGATGCTAGCATGTAACAGCCTGACAGGTGTTTCGTTAGATTGAGTCAGTATCTATACAGTGTACATATTCAACAAAACACCAGTGTCAAACCATGTAGTTTGTAAACTATCCTGTTAATAAAGCGCTAGTAAAGAGGACCATAATCATCAGTAGATTTTTAATTCCAGAATACTCAAGAGAAAAAAAAGGCAGAGTTCAAAATAACCTATAAGCAAAATAAAGCGTCTGCTATGGCCTCAGCTTATCATCCAAGTTGTACAATGAGCGAACAATTCACATTTTGTCAATAGCTACACATATTATATTTCTGCTTAAGGTTCTTCTCCAGGACTTTCATAAGGTGATGCTCTTTATACTATAGATGCATTAAAACTTCTGCACGGTTCCAGTCCTGGCACACATTGGGTTTCTATGTATAATCTTGGAGTGCACTTTCCTTGCTTCTCAACCCTTTCCTTCCCCATTTAAATTCACTAATCAACAAGACAACTGATGACTCCAGAGTCCCCAACATGTTTCCACATACATATTCTTCTAAAAAAGTTCACTTTTGTAGATACTGATTGAGCTATCAATTTCTGGAAGCAGCACACAGTAAGCCTTATGTCAGGTTTTTTGAAGACTACAGACAGAGCGTTTTAAAACAACTACTCTTTATTTTGAACAGCACAAAAATCATATTTAGTGTAATGCACAACTGTATGGCAAATGAATGCCTCAGCCACCCTAAAACACAGATCCAGTTCTTACTAGAAATTGATAAACTCAAGAATACCCTCATGCAGCTTAAGGTTTCTCTTTCAAACCTATAAATTTCATCCCTGCAGGCAGATAAAGTTTCCCTCCAAAAGCTTGCTCTTCATCCCCAAATTAATTTCTCTACTCATCTGTGGTTATGTCAGTATTTTCCCTCCTTTCCCCCTCCCGTGAAAACTTCAGACCCATCATACTCCAGACTCTGGACTTGCAGAGCGTGTGCATTCTAACTAAGAGGTAGCTGAACTTTAGCCTTCCTGTGAAAGGGCTACTTTAGTGGCAAGTCTTCAACAACCACCTTACTTGAAAGTACTAGGACATCATGCATCTGCTCTTAAGCAGAAGAAACACAGGATATGAAACCTGTGCTGATTTCCAGTTCCTCCAACTTACTATGCCATGAAACATGGACACAAATGGCTGGCAAACACAGTGCACGAGCAGCCACACCAGGATATGATACAGACCTTCCAAATGCAGATCTGGTAAAGAATAGTCAGCCACAAAGTGTGAAATTCTAGTTTGATACTCTAAATATACATATCCAGCTCCACAAGGTAGAATTCTCTGCCCCCTTCCTGCTTGTGTTGTATCATTCAGGGAATCAAAGCAATGTGGTCATAATTCCTGCTTAAACAGTCAACCTCTATAAAGATTCTGATTCTTCCCCTCTACTCAACATGGGCGATACTGTAACTGGAGTGCTGTGTCTAATGCTGGGCTCCTCAGAACAAGAGACACAAACATACTGGAACGAGCCCAGCAAAGGGCCACTATGATGATTAAGGAACTGGAGAATCTGTTATAAGTGAAGCTGAGAGAGCTCGGATTGTTTAGCCTCCAGAACAGAAGACTCAAGGGGTGCTGGGACATTTTGTAACTTTGTATAAAAAAAAACCAAAATGGAAGGAAGTAAGGACAGTGGAACCAGGCTCCTCTTAGCAGTGTCCTGTGAAAAAGACAAGAGGCAACGGACACGAACTGAGAGGTTATTCCACTTAAATACATGAAAAAGTTTATACTGTACATGTAACTGAACACTGGAAGAGGTTGTTCAGACAGGTTATGCAGTTTTCATCACTGGAGATATCCAATTCCAACTGTACAAAGTCACAAGATCTTAAGCAACTTGCTCTCGTTAACTCTGCTTTAACCAGGGCTTCGACTAGATCACCTTCAGAGGTCACTCCAACTTCAACCATTCTGTGAATCTGTGAACCTATTCCTTCCAATCTCAACCATGCCGTGGATTCTGTGATAGCTCTGTAAAGTTATTAACTCAAAGGCAACTTAGCACTAAAAAAATTTAAGACTGATGTTAAGTTATACGCTCCACCCTTTCCTTATCTAAAAAGGTTGCTTGATTGTCTACCAGCAGAACGGCTCCTACTATTTCAAATTTAATTCTCGTACCAAGGAAAAATGTCATAGCAGGTCTGCCCTTGTACAGGAATCTCTGGCTAGTCAAACTCCTAGCTGTTGGAAGAAGTGAACGTGCATTTCTTCTTGCTCTTGGTCTTATGAACATTTTAGTACGTGACCTGCAGGACCAGAGAGGTCCTGCACTTAACTTCTGAAGCCTGAAGGCCCTGCAATTACTTCAGAGACACAGGATATACTGATGGACGAGTCCCATATTAACTAAGAATATTTATATTTTTGTTCCGAATATAAAACAAGTGTTTCTGGCTTAAATGTATATTAAGCATAGCATAATATATTTGTGCTAAGAAAAGCACAAATTGGAAAACGTGGCTTCTTCAAGTAGTATTTCTACATCTACATGATCTATTTCTCAGAGGAAAGTTTAAGAAATATGTCCCTAACAGATAATATGCTGGTTTTACATCACAAAAACTTGGCTTTAGCTTTTAAAAAGTAACTTCTGTACATGTAAAAAACAGTAAGATTAGTTCTTGTAAGAACACTGCTGACCAGTTGTAGTGACATAATGGTGTCACCTCCAGCAAACACGGTATTTGCACTTCCACCGCTGTCTCATCTGCTTAATTTACTAAGACTGCACAAGTGTACTCTTGTATTCTTCTACAAGTTCAGCTTAAACTTCAAGATGCCTTCTATCTGTTCAATACACTGTCAACACTAATGAGAGTGATGCCTTTTTTCTTTTATCAAGCTGAAGTTAGAAAAGTTTGCAGGTGACGTGGAATGCTTGCACCCAAACTCGTAGTGACATGATAAAACTGGAAATATCTTAGTTTGTCTTGACGAATGTATGGGACTTAAGTAAAAAACAGCATAGAATGGTTTGCATTGTGATTTGCCTGTCAATTAGCTGCACATATACAGTACAAATTTGAAAGCTAGACTCACAACTGATAGCAATTCTAAAGGAACTTAAGTATTCAATGCAGCACTTTCCTTCTGACTACACAAAAGTGCATACATATGCGAATTAAAAAAAGTCTACAGCGTCGGCACACAAACAGGCTTTGGCAGTGAGCACTTGTGCTTATAATGTAAAATTAACCGCAAGGTTTTTTTTTTTTTTTCCCCGCAAGGACAACTCAGCACTAGAAGAGGTTGCCCAGAGAAGTTTTGGATTCTTAATTCTTGGAGCTACTCAAAACCAAACTAGACATGGTCCTGGACAGCCTGCTGCAGGTGACCCTGCTTGAGCAGGGGGCTTGGACTAGATAATCTCCAGAGTTGCCTTGTAACCTAAATGACCCTATGATTCTGTAATTATGCCACCTAATGAAAACAGTTTACTATGCGCAACACGGACCACTTGGTCAAAGTTAAATTTATGTCAATTCACAATTCTAGAAACTCAAATAATCATTTCAACTTTGCTGGAAAACTTTCCTCCTCTTGCTTTAACAGAAAGTAAGTTATCGATAAGCTTCCTGAGAAACAACATTTGCTGAACTTATATGCAAAACTGAATTAAAGTTGTGTGCGTAATTTTAATCTTTCTTACAGGCAATATACAGTATCATAATGCATTAGCAACAGGTTTACTTTGAACTGTGACCAAATTCCTTGAAGGCTCTCTTGAGAATGAATACCCAAGGAAGTAAAATGCCAAAGAATAATGCACTGCAACTGCGTGAAAACTGTTAGGGCAGGAAAAGAAGCACCATTCAATCGACAAAGCTCCAGTTAGCATACAATCCCTATAAGGACTACCAAATATATCCAGTGCTAAAAATCTCATCTGACACCCTCCAAAGCCCAATAAGAAACTGATTCAGTGATGCTTCCCAAAGCTAGCAAGTTTCTCCAATTTTCACCTTTTGAGTAGTTACTCCTCCTTTTCCTACAGTCCACTATTACATCAGGCAACAAAAACATTCCACGTACTCCCTTGACCCAGAATGCCAAATACAACTAATCTGTAGGCTACACATTAAAAGACTGAAAATATAAACTAATGTTATGTTATATACTTGTGTGAAGTAGGACTGTTCTCATTTTCAGTTACTTCAACACTTAGCTGCAGGGGGAAGTTATCACCAGGTGACACGCTCTAACTTTCTGAAGCGAAACCAACACCAAACACCACCTAAAAAGCCTAACTACATGCATCTAAAATCAACGCATCTTAGTACTGCTGGCGTATTCAGACAAACTCTTATCCTAAGAGTCAATAAGCAGTACCTTACCTTGAAATTGTTTTCTTTTGGTTTTCTTCTCATTATTATATTAAATGTCTCATAAACATCTTCTGCTCCATTTTGGATTGTATTGGTCATGTCTTGTTGATACTGATTTGGGTCCAGAAATACTCTGTATGTTCTGCAATCCCCTTTAAGTCTTGGTTTGGGTTCAGGTCCTGCCCATAATGAAAAGGTAATATGAGAATTTGAAGTAGTGCTACAAACAGATTATCATTCAAATAAGTGACAATCACTCCTGAAATTAAATTTAGACAAATTCATATGATGAAACTTACTTCTGCATGATATTACAAACATTCTTATTTCATGTTGTCATCCCACTTCTACTAGAGTTTTTGAATATAAGATATTTTGTTCCTAAAACCAAAATGTACTGGATTTATTTAATTAATCTAATTATATCAGATTTTACCAGAGGGAGCTAGTTAACTTTCCTCAGGCTGCTTACAGAATTGGTTTGTTTTTTCAAGTAGGTAATGAATTCAATGAGCTTTGCTTAGAAGAGAAGCAAGTTGATGATTAGGCTGTTAATTAAAAAAAAAAAAAAAAGGAGAAAAAAGTAAACCTTTCAAACAAGTTTTTGGTATACCATACCTTCTTCAATAACACGACCTTTCTCATCCAACATGCCCTGGATTTCGCAGCCTCTGACATACACCAGACCAGTTTGCTCAACAAAAGGTCGTCGTCGGTCAAACTTGGTGCCATAAGGTTGCGTGGGACGTACCGTAATCAAAAAGCAGACATCATGTTTACGCAGACCTGATTCCCAAAAGGAACATTCAGCAATTTGATTGAATGCCATTTACTTTTTCCATTCTTTAATACATATACACAGTAGAATACATGAGAATTTCATGTAAATAAAACCCCACCTTTATTTTATAGAGAATAATGTGTTCTGTTTCAAAATATACCTGTAACTTTCAGGATACAGAACCATAGGACATTGTCATCTTTTCCACTATTCCTGCACAGTAAGATCTGCTAGAACTTCAGATATAACAAGGAGAAATTGACTACTTTTTTCATGACTACAAACTTATTTATGTCAAGATTACTCTTCTCCCAATAATCTTACTTAGGTTACACAACCTAGATATTTTCAGTCTTATCTCAAAAGCAGTGCACCATTAATCTCTTATTCTCATTGCGTTCTTCTGGACTAACCTTCAATTATTTTTCTTTAAACAATTTAAGTGCAGTGCCTTGAAATGGGAACAAAATCCTAAACAAAGTTACTTTAGTTATCTACTTAACAGGGTAAGAGGTCACTTAACCAAGTCACTTGTTTTCCGTGCTACATTCCAGTTTATAAATCCCGATATAACATGGTTGAGTGTTTTTCTTTTTCCCTCAGAAGTAACATATTGTTGTGGAGTCACATTTGCTTTTGAGTGATGATGACCTCAGACTATTTTCATTCTGCAGAGCTGCTGCCTAACAAGTTATTCCCCCAACATGCATTTGTGCAGTTGCTCTTCTTGCTTAAGTTTAGCATCTTAATATTCATAACTGTTGAACTACACCCTACTTTTTAAAATGCAATTTCTCCAATTCACTAATGTAATTTTGAACGCTAATCCTTTCCTCCAGTTTTTTTTTCCTATAGATTCTCACAGATCTAAGACACCTTCAAAATTTATAGTAAACACATTCTGTATTTTGCACATGAGACAAATAATTTCTCATTACTCACTGGCTATTATGCAACCCAAAGCAGTTTCACTGAGACCCTGTTCCATCAGGCAACGATTCATCAATTCTTCATCTCAGTTTTTATTAAGTTAAAGCATCACTGCTTCTGAAATCACACCGGCTGTCCCAGTATTTAAATAGCTAGGTGCACCACTATATAGCTACCTTCAGCATAGTGAAGTCTGCTGCCATCCTCCCAGCTTTTCTACTTTAACAGAAATCTATATTCCCAAACTTGTATCTACTTATTTATCACACACTCCAGCTTTAGCATTTGTGCTACGTGACCTGTAATCACACTATGCAGCTCCAGCACATTTAACAGGTTTCTCTAACAAAAGAGAAGGGAGTGACATTTACTGATAATCCAAGTTCAAGTACGCGCTTCTATGCCACTTGCCAACACGGTCAACTAAAGTTCAATTCCCCAAGCAAAAGAAGTGTTGCCTGTGGATACTTGTAAGAAACAGTCTTTGGTACAGTCAGCACTTCCTAATAGCATTCAAATATACTGAAAACTAGTTAAACGCACTGGTTTGAATTAAATCAAAATCTGTCCTCTCCACTTGTATATGAGACAGATATCACATTCCCCACTACTTTTCCAATATGGCATTATTAGCAAACATATTAATTTAAAATGCTAAGTTACTTTTCCACATTCCCTGTAAAGGGCAGAATTTTACAGTTACAAACTGAATGACATCAATCTGGAATAGTAAACATTCTGTTCCCAATGTACATGTAAATTCTTTAATAATTTCTACCTTCATTTTAGGAAAGTACAAACTTCTTAGAGTTAGAATGTGAGTAACTACCTTTTTAAACAGCATACTAAGATTGGCAAACCTGTATCTCAGATAAAAAAACCCTTCTTACAAATAAGACTACATCAAAGTGTATTTTGATGTGCATCTATTTTGAGCACCTTATTTCAAAGAACATTAAGTACCTTCCCATTCATCTTTGATGTTATCTCGGACATTCAAATTAATTGTAACATCTGCTCGTACTCGCATGGGCCAGTTTTCACCAATATTGGGCTTTGCCACCTCCACCACTGTGAAAGAGACAATGGGTTGTGCCATCCTAGCCCATCCACCAAAGACCACACCTCCATATTCCGATAACCTAAAAAAAAAAAAACCCAAAAAACAATAAACCCCCCAACACCAAAGTTTTGTTAGTCATTATCTGATAACAGAGTCAGTTCTTTTTTTTAAATTGTGAAACAATTTACCTCACAGTCAGCTCGAAGACAAAAGTAGAAATCTTAATTTTACATGATACTGAAGTAGATTTACATAATCCTGCATTTTAAAACTGAAGCATAACATGAATGGACTTATTCTTGTATTTCAAGAAACAGAGGCAACTTATGCTGGCATTATTTAAAAAAAAGACAAATAAAAACTCACAGAGAATAAAGGAAAGACAACAAAAAGCAACTACTGAATGTCAGTAATATCACACCAAATGACTGCTTGAAATCTACAGAGAATCAAAACATGGTAGATGGCAAATTCAAGAATACTCAGTAACACCTCTCATAAACCAGAAGAGTTGGTGGTAAAGTTTCTAGATTTTGTAACATCAGCCAAGGCTTAGTACTTGCAGAAAATGAAATCATCCATCTTAACACAACAAACGTTGGTTATTAGCATCCAACGTGTTATCTTAACACACCTACAGGGATATATATCAACACACCCCTACAAAATACTCCCACAGGATGGCAACACCTTTTGGAAGAAGTTAGTATAAAACATAGTATCTATGTAATCATTTATAATACGTTTGTTAGTATACATTTATTATATACACAATATCAGTTACTCATTCTTGAAAGCACTTTGATTACAACTGAAGTTGAACTGACTGGTTTGCATCAGTTAATAAATATTACCATGGTTTCATCCTACTGACACTATCTTCGATGTCCTGTCTGATCTCGTAGGTAGACTCTAAGCGGAAGAGATTGAAGTTCCTCAGCAGGTAGTCATGAAGAGTAAGAAACTGTAGATTCAATTTGGGAAGTGCAAGACAGCCTAAGGGGGTAAGGGTGGGAGGGAAGAGGTATTTGATGGATAAACAAAAAAGATGATGAATTAATACATTGGTTCTACGAATTCATAAATACATACAGATTCTGTAACTGCCATAGTTGTTATCCTGGGAGATTCTAAGAACTACTCCTTTTATAAATATACACCACTAAGATAAATAAACATGCACAAGATTAAAGGAATTTTCATCCTTCTGGTAGTAATATAGCGAACTATTTTAAGACTGAATCCTTCCCTCTATTCAGACTACAACAAAATTGGTTTTATAAAAATCAAATGCAGGGCAAAATAGCAATACTTTGGGAATTCAACAATTGTGACAGCATTAACTAATGATGAAAAAGGCTCATTAACCAATAAAAACTATGCATTATCCAACAATTCCCCAATTCCAATCCCTTATGTTTATTAGCAGCCATGAAAACCATTATCGTAGAAAAAAGTTTTAAGCCAAGAAATCAAATTTTAATATACAACTTCCCTTATAAGTTTCTGTTACTGTTATAGATTTTCATTTCAAATTTCAAACCTTTCTCATTTTTCAGTGAGAAAGAAAAACATAAGAAGGTTAGATCTAACTAAACAATGAGTATTAAAACTCCTAGAGAGGTCCTAAAGCTTACACAGCTTTAGGGTAGCCTTCAAAGCAAATTTTCCATAATAAAGATTCCTATACATTACTCATTTAACATTACTGAACTAACGTTCCAGTTCAACACCTATGCTTAAGTCCTGCAAAAGCATCAGGCTCTTCTAACCCGCAATATTATCCTTGAAAGTTTTCACTGGTATATGCACTACATATTGGCTTTCACATGCATTGAGACACAATGGCAGGGAAGAAAGGCGACAGAACACTAATTTCTATTCTGGAAAGCCTCATGGTGATAAAATAGTTTAACACATTTCTCAACACCAAGTAACAAACCTTGTCCTGTAAAGCTAGTTATATGTACAAAGGGCAGGGCCTGAAGCAACACCTCTTTAAGGCTGCACGTATTTATCAGACACATATTCTTCTTCCCTCATTTTTAAAAATAAAATAAAAACAATACGCCTATTTTTCTTGGGCTAAATTATTTTAAGTTTTATGCCGAAAGAATTTAGCTACTTTTAAAAACACAAAAAAAAACCCAACCCCAAGACCACAAAAGCTAAACTGTCTTGTTTGAAATCAGGGCTGGAGAACACATGGAGATCAAAAAGAGAAAGTGTAAACTGAAACTAAGAGAAGCAAAAAGGAGAAATACAGCAAAAGAGCTCCCACAGGAGGAAACATTTCCACTAGCAACCACTGTTACTTGCCAAAATCACATTCCACCATTAATAAAATTTCTTCAATGCATTATTAAAAAGTAACAAAACAGCACAGAAACAGATGCGATGAGCTGCTATTTCTGCTTCCTTGACCCTTGCAATAACACATATATTGTGATTAATATATTTGGTTAATAAAACACAAAATACACAAAGAGTACATGAACAAGTTTGAGTACTGCAAAGTCAGTCTTCCAGAACAGTCTGAATGACAGTAAAGCTACATTGACTTGCATTTAAAAACCTGAATATCTCAGAGCATTAAAGTAACCTATATGTTGTTTACTGAAATAATAAAAAAAATAATCTTGGTTTATATATTAATTTCCTAGAAATCAGAGCAATCACCCTGATTTGGGTTTTTTTTTTGGTGAGTTTTTTGTTTGTTTGTTTTGAGGTTTTTTGGCCTGTTTTTTTTGTTGTGTCGTTGTGCTTGTTTGTTTTTTTTTTAAGGATAACCCCCCATCAGGATACCTATTATTCAGAAGAATCCGAATCAGCGTTTAACGACTTGCATCATACTGAACATAAGTACTTTATCTCTTCTTGGGCAGATTTCTAGATGGCATTTGTATTTGTTTGGACTAAGATCCTTTGATCCCCATATTAAAGGGGTCAAATTTTAAAAAACTCTTTCTTCTCATTAATACTTGTTCACAAAGAATTTATCCCCCCCCCAAATAATTTATGCTAAGCAGCTGAACATAAGGCTCATACTTACACAAAAAACCTCTGAATTAAAACTACATGGAGGAGGGTATAGAATACTGATGGCTGAAACCGGACACATACTGTATACTAATCTTTGAAGATATATATTATTTGGAATTTCCACATTCCAAATGAAAATTTTCACGTTCCTAGTGAGAATTCTCATGATGCACATAAAACCAACAGTTTTTAAAAGTAGCTAGGCAAAAATATACATGCTGTGTATTGCAAAGCTTAAAATTACATAATTCGTTGTTTGCAACACACGGCGTTTGCTTCCTTGATCATGAGCACATTGAGCAAGAACGCTACCTTCTGAATTTAGTCACTGAAAGGTAGTCTACGCACTGTGTGTACATTTCTACCTTGAAATAAAAGAGTAAGATAATTAGTGTTAATTTTCTCCCATCATTGCACTTTTTTTTTCATTTTAAAAAGGCTTTTTTGAACATACTGAAGAGAAAAGCACAGACAAAAGCTTTTCTGCTCCATGTTTACAACCTGTTTCACCTTACAGTAACTACGTGTGCCACAGCTGGTTACATCTGTTACCCAGATTAGAAGCAAGTTAGTGTTTGTGGTGGGCTTGTCAGTACTAGGTTAATGATTGGACTAGATGGTCTTACAGGTCTTTTCCAATGTAGGAGATTCTGTGATTCTATGAATTTGTTAGCAATTTCATCTCAGAGTTCCTAATTCATGACGTGAAAAAAGGCAACCTTAATCTAAGATGCTGGAATATGCCGAAGTGCTGCATATGTAAGTTCCAAAGACAGAATGAACATAGACATCACTACTGCTTTTAATTTTTTTCAGCATGTACCGAACTACTAATCATACCTTCTCCAGAATAATATTCAGTTGGTACAATATTCTCATCCCAAATAATCTTCTCTGTGGGATAAAGTGGCATCTGGTTGAGTTGCTGAATTTGAGATATTCGTCGCTCATGCCGAGAAACCTAAAGAAAGGATGCATTTTAAACTTCCGTAAGTCAAAAAGGGAGAATAAAGCTATTTTTGAGACATACGCATTAATCCATAAGACTGCTGCTGGTCACTTGCATTGTCTCACTTTTAATAAGTTTTGGGTTTGTGTTTTTTTAAATTAGATATAAATAAATGCACAGAGTTACATCAAAAGATGAACAAACACATACTCCAAGCATTGGTCATAGTACTAGAGTCAAACAATCCTTTGGCTACTCAGCAGACCAAAAATGGCATGACAGAACTGAAAATACTCAGTCAAGGCTTAGCAAAGAACAACTTCAAATGAAATTTATTTTGTTTTCCATTGAACATATGGTCAATGGCTAACTAACACTGCTCATTAAGCAACAGCTAGTCTTAAGTCCCTCTTTGGCAGAAAAAAAATAATCCATTCAATATTACAATATGTCACCTGAACAAATGTCTCTCCATGGCATCCATCTAGCATCTAAACCTTAGGAAACTATGTGAACAATTTTTTGTTATACACTGAATATCCAAAAAAACCCACCACATTATGTGCATCAAATGGCACTTCAAATGGGCTTGAGGAACCAAACAGGTACTGAATATCTAGGTCTACTTTAGCAGATTTTTTGTTTTTAAAAACATACTAGTTTCTCAGGAAACCTACATTTATAAACAAACATTTTCAAATAGTTAATTTACGTGGTTTTAAACCCCACCTTAGTATGCTGTTTACTGCTATAACACTGCTGTGGTTCATAGGTGGTTCAGCAAAGGGTCCTCAATGGCTACTTTCCTACAGTGTAGTTGCTAGATTTAGCTATATCTTGAGTTTGCGACGAAAAAATACAAACACTATTAATTATGTTTTTACCAGCAACTCCAGCAGAAACTCCTTGTCATAACTCGAGTCTTCCCCGTCAGGAAGGGGCGGCAGCAGGCAGAGGTATGATGCCACCTGGTGGAGAACGTTTGAGCTGCACAGCAGAAGGAAAAAAAACTTGTGAAACTGACACAAACATTGGAGAACGCACTTGAAGTAATTTTTTTTTTTCCTTCTTGAAAAAAATTTCCATCTACAAATTTCATCAGACACCAGCAATTACAAATCAGTATTTCAAGGAAAGTTTGAGATATTTAAAATATTTATTTTTGGAATTGTTACAAAGTGCTCTAGAGCACATCCGTGTGTGAAGTGTGCTCAGCCACAGGTGTAAGCTGAACCACTTATCTGCAATAAACACAGCAAGGTGCAAATATTTATTGTTTCAAGACATGTACCTGAAAACAGAACCAAACAACAGGGCACACATTGCCTTTGTCAAAATACAGACTGTTATCCTTTTAAGCACAACATTTACAATACAGTTAATACAGTGTATACTTTTAAGATTTCTGTTGTAGTTTTTCTACAGAACAGATTAAAAAAAGCTAAGTTAAAAAAGTAAGAGCTTAACTACTCTAAGTTAATTACTGCTACAATTACTAAAGTAACAGTAAAATAGCAATAGTAAATAGTAATATAACTAAATCATAAACAGTAATATTACTAAAATAGTAATAGGAAAATAGCAGCTAGCTATTTTCCAGAAAATTAGTACTTTCTCACATTCATTAGAATAAAGGAAAATACAGGTATTTTTCTTATACTGGAATTCTAGTACTTCACTACTAGTGGATGCAAACTCTGCTTATTTCAGCAGATGTAAAGGCACCATGACAAGTCAGAAAGACCTCAGAAGTCACATGAGAAGTTAGAAAGAAAAATGGCTAGAAGTCTGTTAAGTTAAGACATACTGAGAACAAAGAATTTCAATTTCATGTTAAATTTCACTTTGGTAACTTACCTAAGGGGTCCAAATAACTTCACCAGTGAATCACGAGTATCTACTGCAGCTACATTTGAGAGTGCAAAGTCATATAATTCTGGGAAATGTGCAAATGCTGCTCTCTACAAAAGACCCACACCCAAAAACTGAATGTAAGCATATTAATGAGACAATTTAATAACAATCTAAATATTTACCATAGCTTATATTCATAACACATACCACCCTGTGGACACAACCAGTATACAAATAAATACCAAGTGAAATCTCCCTTTTTTTTAGTTAGCACCACCTGTTCGTTACTACTCCACTTCTGATATAGTATCTTTTTATACACCCTCCTACCAGCCTTTGTTCTGTCATTGAAATAAAATATAATGGGGTAGACATGTAGCCTTGCAGACAACCAAGAAAAACAAGGAACATGTTTAACTTAACCCTGATTCCCTGATTATTATTTTTTTTTGTTGTTAAAACTGATGGGATGAAATGTGAAAAGCGTAAGTATCTTTATGTAACTACAGTAAAGTGAATTTTTATTTTGTCTCTTAGGTACAAGGGACCGCTATTGCTATCGTATGCGTGCACTGATCTTGAAGAAACGGTGCCACCTACTGCATAATGGTAAGTTAAGTTCCTACAGCGCTTAATTTTACGTTCTGAATAGATTTAATGGGAGCAGTTCATCTCAACAATATCAAATCAAAAGTGGTGGTGCTGTGCTACAGCATATTATTTAGTCACAGTCACATATGTAACACTGAAGCATTAGTGTCTTTGGTATAATATAGAAAGTCAAGTTAAAAACTATTCCTGTAACGCAATAGGAAGAATAAGGGGTTTGTTTTAGAAAATAATTTAATGACTATTCCAGGTGCAAATTAGACTAAAACAAAATCAAATCCTTTCCTTCCCATTAGCACTTTGCCATCTGCCTACCTGTAAAGAAGTAATCCTGTCATAGTGAATTGTTGTCATCTCATTCTCTGTCAAAGCATTTCCAGTCTGATCGTTGATTTCAAAGCCAGTGTAGAATTTAAGCATATCTAAAAGCTGAGACATGATACATATAAATTAGTGGATTAACAATAAGAGACACCCTACCACAAACAAAAACACAATTTAAGAGGACAAATCTGGGCACCATACACAAACGAGAGCTCTTCAAAATTCTTGAAGAAACGGACTAAGGAGCGACATCTGAATTTTATTTTGTGCATCAGCCAAGTTATAACTTTGTTTAGGTATCTCATCTACAATTCGTAGAAATTACAGCACAGCCCAACACCAATGCGGTTTCTTTTATCTACTAAGGACTTGAAACTGAAACTAATTGCACTAAGGTGACCCAGCCAGAGGTTCACTGGCACGCTGAACCCAACTTACGGCTTGCTCCTACCAAAAGGCAGAGGTCTCACTCTCTCCTGCCCTCTCTGATGCCAGCTCTGGAATTCAGCCTACCTCTCAATGAGATTATTTAACTTGGAAGAAGAAAATTACTCAGATGTGCTGCTGGCTTTGTGTTCCATCTATACTAACCCTCAGAGAAACTGAACAAATGCCAGAGATGGGGGACAGCAAGCAGCAGGAAAAGCAGCTGAGATGCAGGAAAGGGGAGAGATCTTCAGACCCTGCCATAAAAAACAATATACTGTCCGTGACTGAGTAAACTGAAGGACAGTAGCAAAAAACAGCTGCACTGTAGAACAGTCTGAGGTCAAAACAAAGCACAGAAGAACACACTGCTGACAATTTGGGGTAAAGTATGCCAGAAGCTGCACTGTTTTCTAGGTTGTACTTCTAAGAACTGCTCAAAAACAGACCCAGAAATGTAAGAGTAGTCACACACATAAGTACAGGTAAGAAAGGACTACTGTCTGAAGGATTTAAGTAAAAGTGTAGTTTGCATCCATCAGAAAAACCTGTCTTAACAAACAAATATAAAACAAAACAATAGCAGTATTCAGAGCCGCATCAGAATGAAAAAGTTATTTTCACCAACTTTGTATCTCACCTGGCAAAAGAGATGACCCTCCTTCTCTCTTTTAGCAAGGCTGGACAGGTAACAGTGAACAACGAGATGGGAGTCATCCAACACTGTATTAAACCAGCGCCGTGTGGGAAGCAAAGCCTGTAGTAAACAACCTCATGTTAGTACAAGCAATTCTTAAAAACATAAGAAATCCTGGTTTCTCATAATTTTCCATTTCAAGAAGTCCTATCAAGATAAGATTACTGCACAGTTATTTGCACATCTAATACCGTAACGGAGGTTCTCATATTAAAGCAGCATTCAGTGGACAAGGGAAGATCAAGTGATGTCATCTACCTGGACCTGTGCGAAGCGTTTGACACTGTCCCACATGATATACTGGTCTCTAAATTGAAGAGACATGGATTCAACAAATGGACCACTCAGTGGATAAAGAACTGGCTGAACAGTCGCACTCAAAAGAGTTGCAGTCAACGGCTCAATGTCCAAGTGGAGACCAGTGATGAGTGGCGTTCCTCAGGGGTCAGTACTGGGACCTGTACTGTGCAACATCTTTGTCGGCGACATGGACAGTGGGGTCGAGTGCACCCTCAGCAAGTCTGCCGATGATACCAAGCTGTTTGGCGAGGTAGACACGCTGGAGGGGAGGGATATCATCCAGAGGGACCTGGACAGGCTGGAGAGGTGGGCTGAAGCCAACCTCATGCAGTTCAACAAGGCCAAGTGCAAAGTCCTACATCTGGGACAGGGCAATCCCAAGCACAAATACAGGCTCAGCAGGGAATGGCTGGAGAGCAGCCCTGAGGAGAAGGACCTGGGCGTGCTGACTGACGAGAAGCTCAACATGAGCCAGCGATGTGCGATCACAGCCCAGAAGGCCAACTGTATCCTGGGCTGCATCAAAAGAAGTGTGGTCAGCAGGTCAAAGGAGGCGATTCTGCCACTCTACTTCACTCTTGTGAGACCCCACCTGGAGTACTGCATCCAGCTCTGGAGTTCTCAACATAAGAAGGACATGGACCTGCTGGAGCACATCCAGAGGAGAGCCACGAGGATGATCTGAAGGCTGGAGCACCTTTCCTATGAGGAGAGGCTGAGAGAGTTGGGGCTGTTCAGTCTGGAGAAGAGAAGGCTCCGGGGAAATCTTATTGCGGCCTTCCAGTACCTAAAGGGGGCCTACAGGAGAGCTGGGGAAGGACTTTTTACTAGGGCATATAGTGATAGGACGAGGGGGAATGGCTTTAAACTGGAAGAGGGCAGGTTTAGATTAAACATTAGGAAGAAATTTTTTACTTTGAGGGTTGTAAGGCAATGGAACAGGTTGCCCAGAGAGGTTGTTGAGGCCCCGTCCCTGGAGGTGTTCAACAGGGGGGTTGGAACTCGATGATCTTCAAGGTGCCTTCCAACCTAAACCATTCTATGATTCATGATTTATGCCAAGACACTGGTTTTATGCAGGTAGGCTGCTATGAACTCAGCCTTTTATAGGACTAGGAGCACAGCACAAGCCTGCCATTACCGAGATTGCATCCTGCCAGTAATAAAAGTAAATTAAATAAAGCAATTGTTCTACTACTAAGTGTCTACATAATGACTGTGTGCTACAAAAGATAAGTCAAAGTACAGCAACATTGTTTTAAATGTTTGTTTTCTATACTAATTTCATTAATTTTAAGCTTGTCTTTCTCAAGGCTGCAAACTGTTTCTTCTAAATATGGTACGGTATCCTCTATTCTTTGTAAGGTACTCAAATTAGATCAAAGAATTTTTTGAATCTTAATTAAAACTGTATAAAAGTTTTTTGTAGACAAAATAGATCGTTTCTTCTCAATGTAAACAGCTGCTATATGTAGCAACTGTTCAACAGCATACAGTAGTACACCTCAACAATTCAAGAGAAAAATTAGTTGTTCTTAATTGAATCTACAGAATAAATTTAGAAAGCCAAAAAGCAGCAACATGGTGTTTAGAAGACAAAGAAAATAAAATAACCTGTAGTAGAAAATGTTAATTGCCCTGCTCAATAATTACAAAAAAACAAACTCAGAAAACCGTAAGAACTTTCCATGGAGTCATTCTTTTCAAATTATCAAATCATCAAATTTTGATGGCAGTCTGTATACTTTAATATGAAACAAATATCTGAAAAAGGCCTCGACATAGGTAGAAAGAGCTCATTAACACAGTACATGCTACTGAGGCAAAGACTTGGATTTACAGCTAATTTCTCATTTGCTTGTTCCAGTCATTTAAACAGGCTTCATAAACTGTCTGAATTCTAACCTTCCTGCAATACCTAGTTAGAACCAACATTAAATGTACTGCCTCTAAGTATTCTGGCTAACAACCAGACTTAAGTTTAACTTCAAATACATATTTTCACTTATGAAAGTATATTATATGCATACGACAACACGATCTAATTTAAAGAATTCATTCTATTGCAACTACAAGCACAGGCTACTTAAGTGATTTAGCAGAGGACAGTATGAGTTCAAGATGGAGACATTTTAAAATTCCCTGTGCTTACAGTTTCAGAAAACTCTCTTATTTCAGAAAGTCTTCTAAATCTGAAGCTATTTTAAGTAAATTGCTACTCGTGACAAATTGCAAATTTATGTCTTTTATTTTTAATTCTGGTACTGTGAAGCTTAAAATTGTCCTACTTTCTCAGTACTTACCGAAAAATTTCACAAAACCAGCCTGACCTCCTATTACCTTGTAACAAACCTAGATCAGCAGAACTGTTACTTCTAAATAATGAATTCTAGTCAAATAGAAATAGTTTGCATTTCAGAACAACCAACACTTTCTGGGATTATACCCTACAACACAAAAGATACTTTAAGTGACCTATTATGCACTGGGAAGACTACCTCTGGGTTATTCTTAGTGGATTAAACCCTCATCAATTGCCAGAACTATTACCACTACTCCAATTAACAAAATCATCTTCACTGAGCAGTTTAGGATTCTAGCTTTCTTTAACAATTCATCTGGTTTATAAACACTACTAGTCACTTCCCAATGTGGATGCACTGCTACATCCTCCTATTTACAGATGGAAAACCACTATTAAGCAACCAAATGCACAACTGTGACATAACCGTCTGCTAATTGGAATAAGGCTGTAATAATGACTTTACACATTTAAAACCCAGAAAAGTGCACCTGGAAGCAGGCTGAAACAACTAAATAACTTACCTCAAGATCTAGCATGAGTTCAATGAATCTTTCACAATAATGAACTTTGTCCATAGAAATAGGACCTAGATAAAAAAAAATTTTTTTGCAATTGATTCACACCACAATATATTTGTACTTGACCTATTCTTTAAAAACGTAATAAATGCTACTAATATAACAGTATTAGCTTTTAACAAGATTAAAAAGTTAACTAGTTCATTATTCTCTTTTTCTGAAACAATCCTTTCTTTCATTGCAAACCAGAAAAATTTTGGATATAAGAAAGTAACGGAACTAGTTTCAGGAGCAATTTTATCCACTCTGGAAAAAAAACAACCAATGTGACATACAAAAATGCACACTTCCACAAGATACCAATGGCCCCCTAAGCTTCATAAGAACTTTTAACTCCAGGTACTCAAAAATACCTATTTAAAGGCTGCAATCAAGGTGTGCGCAAAAGGCCTTGACAATATTCAAAAGTACTCAGCGGTGTCTACTAAGGAGCCTTTAGAATCATGTCAAAACACAATGCTAAGTCTGGTTTAATGAATATCTATTTCCTAAAGCCTCCAAAGAACTGTTAGTGTAAATCTTCCTATAACAGGTCTTGCATAATTGGGAAAACTGAGGGAATAGGTATTCTTTCCGAGGAAGCCACAATACACAGAATTTCCCCTTACAGCTCTGTTAAGAGATGAAGAAGTTTACTAAGAGTTTAAGAGCAAAAGCAGAACACTTGGAAGTGATTTCACCCAAATTGTGCTGTACTTAGAGTATAATAAGCCTTTTTTTGTCAAAAGGCTAACACCTTCCTGCACAAACACTTTTCCTTTCTAAATCAGGCAAGCATATAATTTTGCTTGTCACAATGACTTATAAATCAAGAGCAGTCAAATCTTACAGAATTTCACTTTACTTAAGACTTTTGTTCTTACTGTAAATCAACAGTACTGACAGAATAGAACCTTATGATATGCATTTATACCACCTGTTTAACAAGGCATCTAAGCACATATGAAATGCTTTAGTGCTGTAAGAAGGCTGTAAGCATACAACAAAGAATATCAGAAATAATTTTTTTAATAAATTCCATACTGAACAGAAGGAGAAGAGGTTTAAAGTAGCTTCCTGCTATTTAATTTTTAAAGCATATACAGATTTGAATACTAATTTTGACATGAAATCCATGCAGACAGGCATGGATTTCACTAAAACCCCATCTAGATAAGGTCTCCAACCTCAGGCTGGTATCCTAAAGAGCAGTTACTTCAGCAACAGAAAAAAATTTAAGACAGATTACCAGATAACAAAGTAACATAAGAAACACAGTTACCTGAGACAGGTATTGATTTTAGCACAGAAATGAATTTCTGAATGAGCTGTGAAAGAAATCTTCTCTCCCGGTATGCTCTAAAATCAAGCATATAACAAAAGCATTAATATTTTTTAAATGTAGACTAGAAGTATATCATATCTTTCACTAATACAAAGTTAGCTGCTTTAAAATTTATATAATGGTAGCAGGTTACTTTGAAACACACCTAAACTGTTTAGATGGTAACTTTTCTCTCTGCACTCAGGCAGACACTAGCAGTTTTTAGGCACAGAACTGATTAACGACCTATGGTTCTACTGAGTCAAAGAGGAGAAGTGTGTCACCACTTATACCTTGCCACACTGCAACACAAAAGTATTGGAACATTTAACTTTCATGAATTTTTATTCAACTACTTGCATAAGCTATTTGCTTTAGAGCTGAACATTTGCGAAAGGTCATGAAAAAATACAAGTAACTACATGAATATTCTCTTATGGCTTTCATGCTTTAGGTCTAAGATTTGGTATCACAAATTCACCGATCAAACAAAATATTAGAGTTCTATAATAGTATTTTGCATAAGGAATACAGGAAAACAAAATAATTTCCAGGAGACCACATATGATCAATCCTTATTTGCCATCTTCACAGTTTTTTTTATTGAAACAACTTATTTTAGCTGAAACAATGAATGCATTAAGGGCTTTGGATTTAACAGGAAAAAAAAAAAAAAAATTTCTGCAACATACCGCATTCTTGCCTCCTCATCCATTTTCTCATCATTTTTCTTAATTAGATTCCAGAATTTTCTTAGTTTTGGTGTCTTTTTCAGCTCTTGTTCCAGCCGTTTCTGAAATTTTAAAATGTTATTCAGTCACCAAGAATCCTTGTTTTCACAAGAGATAAAAATACAATCCAGTCTTCTTATTAAAAAAAGAAAAAATATATAACAAACTGAAATAAACATCTGTCTCAGACTAATCTCAGTAAGAATCACTGTAAAAAAAAGAACGCAATACTGCTAGAGAATCTAGCCATGGCTAGATGTCAGCTCCATTCCCCAGTCACTGTGATCTCATGGCCCTGTCTACAAATATAGCTTGAATAAGCTATAAGCAACAAAGCTTAGTTTTATGAAAAAATAAATAATTATTTAATAATTACAATTACACGGAAGTTTGCAACAAACAATAAAGAGAATTTTACCAAGCACACAAAAACATAATTCCATAGCAATGCAGGCAGCTTTAAATATTAGACTTCTATAACTGTATTCCGTAAGAATTCACTTTACTGTACTTGCATAATGCCTAGATTAGTTGGCCAGTTTACACGGCTATGCTTACAGGTTGTAGAGCCATCCACATCGGTAAGGAAATGAGCTGCTGCACCTGACTTCTGATCAAATCCACTTCCTGTTAGAAAGTTACAGACAGAAATATTTTTTTTTAGAATTCTTATGTTTTCTGATATTCCTTTCTTACAAAATACATCAATATACATTACCATCTGACAAAAACACCTATGTTGTTATATTAGATTTCACAATTTCCTAACAGGAAACTGCACAATAGCCCTACCCAGTAACACCTAGAACTGCTGGTGACTTTCATATTTTAGGTTCTTTTCATGGATTCTGTCAGTTCTTAATACTTCAGCAGGGGCCCCATCCAAGTATTTTTAGCATAGAAGCTGGTGAGAACTGATGTTTCTTCTTCAGACATTTCTTGTACTTGAACTGAATTGTCTTACCGTCCTTTCTTTATTTGTTTTTACTCTATTCTTTCTCTCCTGAAGCCCTTCATTTATCAAGTTTCTCCCACTTCATTTACACTCATCCCATTATCTGAAATTACTAATTTTATCTACAATTCATGTAACTTCCAATTGTTGTTCCAAATGTTTTCTTTCTATCTCTGATCCACAAAGTTTACTTTCTTTCCTAAACTACTAAAAAACTTCCATTAATATCTTAAATACGTCTCATGGACAAATATTCTATTGTGAGCATTCTAAAACTTGGCACTTCGGTGCTCCTTATTTAAAACACAACTGTGACTATCCTGTTCTGCATTTCACAAAGAAGGGCAGCTTCAAATAGCAGTACACTTTTACAAGCACCTTTTTACGGGCTTCCATATCACGTTATGAGAGATACGCCCTGCAAACAGGATTCCTGTACAGACACTCCCCAAAGCCTCCTTTTAAAGTGAAGATCCATTGTACCACAGCCACTACAGCAAAATACTACCTCAATGAAATATACATAAGGTTCACGATGATTACTGGCTCCCATAATCACTCCTAATTCCAAAAATTAAATCATATTCTGTCTCAATTGTTTTGTCTGCAAGACACAATTTTTTTCTTTATTTGTGCTGATCTTGATTTTGACTGATACATCCTGTATGTAAGTAAAGAAGCAGCCCAGTAGCAAAAGAGGTAACAGAGTACTGTTTCATATAACAGATAATTGTAAAGTATTCTCCACACTTGCTAATTAGGATCTATAACTGTGTGTTTATTATAGACTGAGAACACAACTTGGTCCAATGTTTTGTTAAAACTAACTCAAGAGAAGTGCAGATAGAAATATTATCTAAACTTGGTTTCAGAAGTGAAAAAATTACTGTCTTTCTCAATAGTTAATGGAAATAATTTTGTGCAATTTCCCAGCCAAACTAAAAAGAGTACAGCAGTAAGTAACCTGCTTTTAAGTGTAAAGCACCTTTTCAAATATAAATACATTTTTTTAAGCACCATTTTAAATATGTCTGAATATATGCTTTTAAATTGCAGTAAGTGCCAATCCTCCAATTTCAAGTCTCTTTTATGACCTTGTGTCAGAAAAAGCAAACATGATGAGAGAGAAAAAGCAAGAGTCAGAAAGAGGGGTAAAAGCCCTCCAGTACCATCTTCTTTCTTAAATGGGAATTTTGCTTCATCTGTCTCGTAAGAAGAAATTGCTCAAACTAAACTCCTATTAACACAGAACAGCATAAACACACTGGAAGTATTACAGTTACTTTTAACATACCAAACTATTGAAGCAGTGATCAAGGAAAAGCAGCAAGACTGTCTGTTCATGCAGAGAGTATTCACTGTCATTTTCAACCAGCGATGCTTCCAGTATGCATTTGAAAAAGAAGGGAAAGTGTTCTGGTTTTTTTTTGAATGTCTAGGAATAGAAGAGGAAGTTGATTTTGAGTCAGGTTGATACAAATCTTTTTAATCTTCATTCACATAACATAGATTAAGTTCTCTAAACCCATTTAAGTCTATAAAAGGAAGGATTTTTTTCTCTTTTCCATTTATTTTGACCAAGCAACACAAACAAAGCAGAATAACGATATCCTCCTGACCAAGGATCCTCACGCTGTAGGAACGCTCTTAGTGGGACTACTGCCTTTTGTGTAGTCTAACACAGGTGATGTATAAGACAAACTGAACAAGAAGCACAAGTGGAATGGGTGGTGCTGTGGGCATGTTCAACCAGTCATCACACAGAATTACTGTAAAATTACATAGGTTAGAAGAGAATTGGTAGGTTTTGCCTAAAACTATGACAGCTATTTAGCGATCTGCAAAAAGTGAGCAGGTAAAAACCACCAGAGACAAATTACAATTGTGGAACTCCCATTCAGCTGTCTAATCCAGAAAAAGATAAACCAAAAAATTGTGGAGGTAAAATGGTTTCTTTACAAGGGCAGCCATGTACCAAACAACAAATTTAACTAAGCTGCTTGGAAAATAACGTACCAGTCATTTTGCATCTAGTACGTACACCAGAACAAAAAAAGGCACAGAAATCATGTAAGCAAGTTACTAATCCTTTGCGCTTTGTCAGCACTGAAGTAATGGCTCTACTATCGGAGTAAGTGTGCTTCTGAAATAATGCTTGCATAGAATTTCTAACTAAGCTTATGTTGTTGAAATGACCTGTGAGAACAGGACTGTTTGCAGAAACACTGAATCATTTCTAAAACTATTACTACAAAAAACAGTACACAGAGAAGCAGAGTAAGAGATTATGTTAGTATGAAATTTCATGCAAGAAAGCTACAAAACTGTATTCACAGGTTTTAAGCAAGACACTACTGGATAATATGTTAGACTTCCAGTGGTGCCTTCTTATATTAACAGATATAAAAATCCTTTTTTCTTTCAGTATCAAAGCAAGAACTTCTCTGCCAATGCCCAACTTTTGTCAAATGCCAAAAAAGCAAATGGTGCTGATTGTGTAGAGGCATCACACAGCAGAACAAAGGAATTCCAGAAGGAATTGGGCAATTTTTCATCCATCCATTGCTTTTTCCAAGAACACCACACACTTTAAAACACTGTATGAGACATTCCAGCTGAGGTACCATTTACTTTTAACATTACAAGCTTTGGTAGCTTCTGTCAGTATAAGTGAGCACACCTCAAAGCTGCAACTTGCGGATCAAAGACAATTCTAGCTGTAATTGAAATTGGTTACCTCCCACGCAGGGACATTCTCTCTGAACTTCTCATTCACCATACAGCAGATTGACATTAAATATGCCTTACTGGACACCTCTGGAGAATAATTCATCCATAGGTAATTTTCAAGGTACTGGCTGTGAAGAGACAAAGAGTATTTCATTAGTTCCTGCCACCCACATAATCTGTCACTCAGTTATCCACAGGGTTTTTTTCCTCCTTCTCCTTAAAGCCATCTTTATAGTTTGTGAGTAGTTCCTGCAGTTACCTCTCATCTAGGTCACTGCAGCAAAACTTGTTAGACTCGGTAACTGCTACAAGAAACAGATGAGTTTCTTATCAGGGCAGCACATTGACCAGAGGGTTTTCAGATGTAACAAGTAGCCGCAGCTCAATACAAAGTCAGAATATGAATGCAAGTTGATTTTCCAAAAGGATAGAGGGTGGGAAAAAAAAAAAAAAAAAAAAAAAAAGGGAAAAAACTTCACTTGTCTATAGAATGTCATATGCAGCATTTCCTAGCATAAGACACAAAGGACAACTACTGTATAACACTATTTATATTATTACTCTTTCTTATAAAAAAAATAGGAATCATCAAGAGAGATTTTAAGCATATAATCATATAAAGGCAATAAAAATATTACATTACAGTGCAACTAAAATAAAGCATTGAACATCAGGGGAGTGATTGTTTTCAACAAGGTGAAAAAAAAACTACTGAACACCAGAAAATAGCAGCTTCTGAGCAATAAGCATTTCTTCTTTGTTAATATGGCACTTTTCTCATAGAAGAAACTCTTAAAATTAGATCTTAGAGATAAGAGGCTATTTGGACAAGCAACAGTTTCCCTCCTTTAACTTCCTCTTGAAGCTATGCGGGATAGTTACTCCTGAGGAGGCAATCCCTAAATCCATCATATTCAACAGTGCACTTGCACCTTGTGCTACTTTTAACAACTGCCACCAGAAAGCAGAAAGTCTTGTTTCTTCCTAAACAAGCTGCTCATCCATTCCTTCTCAATGCCTGTTCTAACATACATTTGGCCCCTCATGAACCAACTCAGCTTTACCTATTTACTTTTTTCCACAGCTTACTTTTCTGATGCTTGAAAGCAAGCTACTTCAATAACTTCAGGTAAGACAAGTATCAGAGACGGTGGTGAAAAAAGGCGGCAAGAACTTGTATGTAACCACGAGCAAAAGGTTCTGTAATGGTCAGACAGGGATTTCCACTTTCTGGGAGCTCAGCCAGAATGGCTAGCTTCAGATGGAGCTGAGATAACTTCATGGGCATATACAAGTTGAAATGCCCGTACTGCTTCCCAAGAGCTTGGATCTGCCAATGGGAGGGGGAAAACCCCCACAAAATCCGAACTCCATACTTCATTTCACCCAGGAATTCCGATAAACTTCAATACACTTTAGTAAAAATACTATTATGCTGCCAAGTGAGGATAAACGTACGCGAGCAAGGCTGAAGGACAAGAAAATCTCATGTGTATGAAAACAGGAGAGTTTGACAGACCGATGGGGGAGTGGGGGAGGAAAAGAGAGAAAATTACTTACAGGACAAATGGCAGTAGATGGGGCTATAGACCAGAAAGTACTAACGTTACATTACAGACTGGTAACATTAAGAATGTTCACAGAAAGGCTAAAAAGCTCTAAATGCCATGGTACTGCTGGCATGCAAATTCCAGAAGCCACGCTACCAGCATGCCATTTGTTAGTGTCAAACCTCAAACTGTAACTTACAGTCTCTCCTCCACCTTTCCTAATAAAGAAGCAGGGAACAGAGGGAAGTTTGGCCTACTTTTCTAGTTCGTGGTACTACTTACATATTTCAGCCTTTTCAAACAAAGAATCTATCTCAACCAAAAACCATCTTAGTCTTTCTGCTCATAAGATTTGAGAGAAAAAACAGAGCCAAACAAAACACTAAATATTGTGTTTCTAAACATGTAAATACTGCAAATATTTATTTTACATCATTTTAGACATGCTTTATCAGTTCTTCCAGGGAAGTCTGAACTAGCTGTAAGAATCTCCGAAACAGATTTCCACTTCCTTTCAAGTGAAGAAAATGTTAGTGATACTGCTGCACCACAATTCATTTTTAACCTTGCAGTAAGACACTTAATCCAAAAACTTACTCTGACTTCACTGAGTTCTGATTTAAGGCTTAATGACACATTCCAAATTACAGATTTAAGTTTTTCACCTAGTTCATTCACACTGTCTTCTTTGGTGCTTCACTTACACTAAAAATTCAGAATCATAAAACAAGACACACCAATATGTTACTTATGCTTATGAAATTATTTCCTCCTCAAATTAAGCTCTCCTCACTTAAGCTTCTGAGGTACACAATCCAAGCTTTAGTAAGCACAAACGAGTATACTACCTAACTGACTTAGCGTCTCATCTTTACAGGTGCCTATGAAAAAATAACTTAAAATTTCATTCCAATTAGCTTACCTGAATTCAAGAAGCATTATCTTTCTAATAGCAAACCTAAAAAGGAAAAAGTAATTAATTAACACAGGAAAAAAAGCCTTCCATACGTATCTTAGCTGTACAGAAAATGGCTATATTTTTTCTTATTTTGTTATCTAATGAAACCTGTATAAACATCTAGGAATTATTTCTGTCTCCCCACTTCCATGCAAGAGCAACCACCTGAATGCAGAAGCAACTGCTGTAACACTGTGAAAGCTAGAGTACATGTAAGTTCATTAATCAATCAAATTAACATTAAAAAAATCCATCTAGATCTTTTAAATATGAAGCCGCTGTTTCCAACTGCCTTGAAGACATAAATTGCTAGAAACTGAGAGTGTCTTCTGGACAACTAAAACTATATATTTAATCAGTTCATAATGGTATCTCTTAGTGACCGGGAATGGAAGTTTGCTCTCATCCTGTATAGCAATTCTTAGATTACGTTCATAAAGGAATCAAACAGATTTATCTCCAGAGCTCAGACTTCCCCTGAAAAGCTCCAAACAGCTACAGTTGCAATTCTTTTCTGTACACACAGCTCTAGAATGCGGTTTATCTTGAATTCTGTCTCCCCCATCTAACACTACAATTCATTGAAATGAGA